TTAATTATTTCTTCTTTATTTATTATTTTTCCAGTTGAGTGGAACTATTTTATTTTCTTTTAAGCATATACTGTAAAACCAATTGTAAAGTGTTAAGGCTGGTCACCGTGGGCTCCGATCTAGCAATATTTAAGTTTCCGAAAATCCTGTTCGTAAACTGGTGGGGGGGAGATAAAGACCGGAGACTGGCGGTATCAGCCTTAATACTATCTGGTAATGTAAATAAACAGGCTAAGTGTATATAAGGAGGCTTATGGAACGAATAAAGCAGTGTTATTTCAGAAGTCGTGTATGTTACATCTTTTCCCTTTTCCTTCTTTTTTTTTATTTCTTACGTCCGACGACGCTTAACTTATATATATATATATATATATATATATATATATATATATATATATATATATATATCTAAAAGGTGTTTTTTAGTCCTAACGTCACAACTTCGTCAATTCTTAATCAAATACAATGATTGAGCCATTATTTTAAAGATTATCTTCACCTTCTAGTTGGAAAAATAGTCGCATCACCCAAATTTAAGGGAAAAGGATATGAAGAAAAAGAAACTTTATTGTTATTAAAATTTAAAATATATATATATATATATATATATATATATATATATATATATATATATATACTAGTTGGCCCGTGTGAAAATGCATAATTTTAATATACAATAAAGTTTCTTTTCCTTCATAACCTTCTCCCTTAAATTTGAGGGATGTGACTATTTTTCCAACTAAAAGGTGAAGATAACCTTTAAAGTAATAACTCAATCATTGGATTTGAGTAAGAGTTGACGAAGTTATGACGTTGGAACAAAAAAAAAAACCTTTTAGAAATAATATATAACATAGCGAACATATGGAAAGGAAGTTTATATTTATATTATAGTTTTGGGAAATTAATGTGTTTTAATATATACTCCTGTTAATTCGATTCGATGATATTTTATGAGATTTCGAGAATCGATACCTAGATGGTCCAGTATCAAATTTATCAGATTCCATCTACGTCTTTTTCTTAGCCAACTTAGGTCTGTATTTTTACTTGGCAATAGTAATAATAATGCAATCATTGCGTTCGTCAACCACCGTACTGGACTAGAGAATTTAAACAGATTAATAAATTACAGCTGTACTGAAGAGGACTTCTGGACCACGGAGCCAATATATTGAAAAAAAACCTGAAGGGTACTTCAACTGAAGTTGATTGACGAAGGTAGGACTACTATATTCTCATAGCTCTTGAGTTTGGAAAAATATTTAGTTAAATTATATTTATGGAAATGAGACCATTTTTGTATTTTCAATTTAATCTTTAATGGAATCGAAACCACCTCCTCGTGCTTTCCTCAAACGATAGTTTTAATTTTTAAAATAAAATATCTAAGAAACTATATCGATAGTCGATAATATCGAAGTCGATTCTATCGATGATGAAATATCAAATATCAGAAGAAAAATATTGCCAACCCTAGTAGCAGAGACCGGGGCACGTTTGCTTTTGATTTTTTTAAAATTTAGTTTTTAATGGTAACATTTAGAAACAATTTACACAATCGAAATTTTCACCATTAATTAATTCATATCTGTTAGAGAAAATATATACTTTTTTTTTTTTTTTTTTATCAAAACCTGAAATGTGGTTTAATTCGACTATGACTCTTTGTCGGAGTACCGTAGACCACTTATGATTTTCCATGCCTTTCACGTAAAGGCCACTGAAAAAAAAAGTCTTTCAATTTTAAAAGAGTCAGCCACATGGCAAAAACCGTATCAATTTTCGCATATTATCAATTTAGCTTGATATTGGTCACCTATTTAACAGGCTTGGGTAGTTGTGAGTTGATATCAGCATTGATGATCGCATTCCTAAAGATGGCAGATAGCCATATTGCATACTTGATATCTTCACCATTTCAGGGTATGGATGGTCCCTTATCAGAGCCTCAATGAGCAATACGGATCTGCTTAGATATCAAAAAGGAATTCTTACTCCGAAGAAGAGGCCGAACTTAGAGTTGCCAAGCGGGGCTAAGTGCGTGATCGCTGAGCTGTTTTAGAAATAAATAAATTATAAAGAAAGGCCAAAGTGTGTAGGACTTGTGGAATTGTACTTCAGAAAAACGTGCCTATCCAAAATAAATGAAAATGACAAATTTTATCCGTTCCTAATAAGTGCTATTATTGCTTTCTGAACTCTACGATTTAATTGGATACATATTTCACATTAAAAAAGTTTTTTAATTTCAAAAATATACTCGTTATTTCAAATTATTACATTCAGTAACCTATGAGGAATTAAAGATTGCATTGACTCATATACATTCATATTTAAGAAATATGAACTCTCAACCATAACAGCCCATATTGAAATATGTATTTCCTCACACAATTTTTACTTATTACACCCAATTCTTTGTAAAAATTATTATCATTTTTTAAATATAATGAGCCTTGAGTACGTATATATAATATACGTACGTAAGTATAATTTTATAGTATACTTACAAACTCTACTCAAGACACCACTTAAGTATGATTTTCGTTCATTATGCTGGAAAATAAAAATTAGTTTTCATATCTTTTCGATAGAAATTACGAAATGAAATGAAAAGAAAATTTTATTTTATTCTGGGCCTAAATTCTTCTTAGTTACAGATTACAGAGTTCACAAAATATATACTTAAATATGGCATGTGGATATGATACAGATATAAAAAAATTTTTTTAATATTATTTTAATGGAATTTACAACTGTATTACATGGAAAATACAATAAGTAAATGTGAAATTGGTAACATGACATGTACAACATGAAGAGAAACTACCCATTGTTAGAACTCAAATTAAAGTTCTATATTAGAAGGTCCCGAGGCCATCTTCTTTTCAGACGCCTCGGAGGGTTATCAGGAATCGAGGAGGAAGCAAGGTTTGAAAAGAGAGGATTCGATAGGTTCTGCAGTTTGTTATGGAAGGACAGGTATCTGGATTGGGGCAAATCGGAAACATATGGAACATTAAGATCTTTATAGATGATTTTACTTGTGACAAAGTAAGGAGCGTTGAGGATTTTACGAAGGATTTTGGATTGTAAGGATTGGATACGAGAGGAATTCGATGGTTTAGTGGAGCCCCAAAGCTCAATTCCATAAGTCCAAATAGGTCTTATTATTGTCATATATATGAGTTGTTTATAATTGATTGAATGCTTAGATCGTTTGTCTAGTAAGTGCTGCAGTAGTCGAAAAAGTCGGGCGGTTTCTAGTCGTTTCAGTCTGGAGGTTCCAAGTGAGTCGTTTGTCAAGGAGGAGTCCTAAGTATCGGATTTGTTCAACAGGGATAAGAGAGCTATTGTTGAAGTATACTGTAGGACAGGAAAAACAAAAATTACTGAGAGAAGATACAGATATATACATAAAATACAGAGAGAAAAATAAATTAAAAAATTAAAAGACTCTTATCTTTTATCTATCAAGAAATTTGTGTTTACATAGCCTGAAAATTCTTATAAGCTGGCGGAAGTTTAAATGTTTAGTAGGTGGTGCAATAGGAGTTGTTTGGAGGAATTTGTGGACGTGGTTTGGCGTAGGAGTTCCAAAATGAGGTAGCACGAATGACGAAATAAGTTGTTTTAAAGGGGGGGGGGTTGTTGGAGAGGTTTATAAAGGTCTATAGGTTGAGATCGGGTATTCAGGGGTGGATAGAGGAGAGTAAGGAGTTCTAGGATCTAAGGAGGATTTTTGGTTCTGAGGACTTGGAAAAGGAAAACACCAAGGAGGGATTGCCGTCGGAAAGTAGGATAAAGCCACTTCAACTCGGTGTGTAGGGATGAAATACGAGTACGTCTGGGAATACCAAAGATGAATCTTATGAAGCGATTCATGAGTCTTTTATGTGTAGTTATTATATGAAATAAATTATATATATGTTCTCTGAGAATGTTTTTTCCCCATTCGATAATTTAAAAACAGACAATATTAACTACAGAAATTTAAATCTATTAGCTTTTGACCACTCTCAATTACCTTCTATAGCTTTATATATCTTTATTTTGACAATTTAAACTTTTCAATATCGTACATCTACATCACTGTTCTTATTGTGAGGAATTAGTTCTCCACTTGCCAAAATATTACTCGCATTAAATTACCAAATTCTTTCTTATTTGTCCATTTTGTATTAATCATAGTTAATAATTTAGGTACTTTACTTGAACAAATTTCGAAAATTTGGTATTTAAGCCCTGTCAGATTAATTCGATCAGGTAAATGTCTACCTGATATTAAAGACCATTCAAATTTACTTTGAAATGATAATTTTAATCAGGTATGATTGTGTTTAGAAGTTTTTATTTTATTTTATTTGTTTACTTTTTTTTTCTTTTTATTTACTTTCTTCATCAGTATTATTTATTTACTTTTTATATTTATATTTATTTCTCTATTATTTGTATATATTGTTTGAATGAGAACTTTTAGCCCTAATACTTATAGCCCTCCTGCAGTGGCAGATTGTATTATCATTCAATAAATAGATTATTAAAAAAAAAAATAATCAGAACCGTTAGAACTGTTTTCAAGAAAATTTTAAAAATATACAAAATCGATAATATAAATTACTATTTCTAGTGCGTCGTTTTTTATTGAAAACCTATTATAATATTACAAATCAATATCTTGTCATGTATCAGTACCTTGAAGATGTAATTTCAGTTTCATAGTTTCTGTTTTCGAGCTAAGCTGTCCACATAAACATAGAAACACACACACACACAATATTTTTCAATATCGCAGTAAGTTCTCTTATTATATATTTCATAATATATTTATTTTTTATTAATAAATATAATTATTTTTGATAATTGTGAATCAAGCTACACTTTCAGCTACGCCTGTACCCAATAGGTCCGGTAGGCTATGCAAGGACCTCTTGAAAACCTACGTTCAATTTAATAAACATATAAAATATTAAGGATCAATCATAAAATTAAAAAATATACACTGAAAAAAATAATAGATTTATTAAAATACAATATTATTTACACAGCTTCTACGCTAAATGTAAAATAGGTCCCTCACCTTTTACATTCTATTATATATCACATTTTCATGTATTAATACTTTTATGGTTAGTATTTACTTAAAATATAAAATACTATGAAACAAAGATTTAGTCAAATGGTGTAAAGTTTTACTACTTATTTAAAATTAAAGCTTAAACTAAATTTTTTACATGGAATTTTTAAATATCCTTTCCGAATTAATTTATTTTTGAAGTTTTTCAATAGTTAAAAGTATTATGTTTTCATAATTTCTTTTTCAAGTTTCATTTTTACCACCACGGTTATAAATAAATAAATACAAATTTTATACAATTTTTTAATATATGCATAAATATATTAATTTATGTATCATATTTACAATATCCATATCATCACTTATATATTGGAATGTTTAGATTTAAAACAAAATAATAAGATGCTAAATTTATTACATCTCTTCTACATTAAGTGCATCATCGATTTTAGAAACCAATGTACTTAAAGTACCTAAATTTGTACTCGATTTTAAAAATATTTGTTATAATAAGGTTATTAAACAGAAATGTAATCCATTATAAGACCTTTCTACTTGGTTATTTCAAGTAACATCTTCTCGAACAATAAAACTATATCAACTGTGAACCATCTTCAAACAGTTGATAATTAATATTAATATTATTATCATTATTTCTATAATCATAAATAATGGAGATTTCTGTTTAGCTCAAACTATGTTATCGTTAACTGAGTGTTTTATTTTGACATGTTATGGCGCTGGCTATTGGTGACTACAACCTCAGGCACTTCCTCATCTGAAACATTATATTAACATTTGTTAATTACTTTTGGAAGTTATTGTATAGTAAAAAATATTATAAGTTACATTTTATAAAGTCAATTAACTTACATTTCATCCATCATATTACTTTATACATTCAGATATTTCTAGAAAATTCTCATTTTCAAATTCTGTTGTCTTCTTTGAAAGTTGTTGGCGTGTATGCTGTTACATTATTAAAAATTATTTTCGTGTAATAGAATCATGTGTGTTTCTTATGCAAAATTATTTTTTTATTTTAATAAAAGGAGCAAATCAAAGAGGATGAACTAAACAAACTAACATGTGCAATAACATCAACACGCAATATGCAAAATGTTATAGAATCTATAAATACAAATTTACAAATACGAGATCCTCCAACAGGGTACAGACAGACCATTTGGATTAAATTATTAAATTTCGTCAAGAATTGGTGAATGGCTTCATCTAATCATAACCTATAACTTTTATATTTATGAAAACTCTCAGAAATTGGCCGTTTCCTTATTAATCTGATTAATTTAATGAGTTAACTCATGAATACCCATTTGCTTACAACTCGTAATAGTTTGATTGAAAGGTGGCCTACAAAATTATTGGGCCCTATGGCATGTATAAATTCGTTATTTGGATATGTTTATGGTGAAGATCATGCTATTAATTGATAATAAATAAAGTGGAAAGCTAATGGGTGTTCATGAGTTTTGGTATCTCATTGAATAGTTTACCTACCGATCTCCAGATTGAAAATGTTAAAAATTTGTATATTATGATAAAATGAATCCATTCCCGAAATCTTAGATGGATGTTAATTATTTGAAAAAAAGGGGTCTGTATTGCAGAGGTGTAGAGAAATAAGAAAACATATGTTATAATGTATCAATAATCTTAGTCCTTGAATTGTATAGATAATATATGATTGATAATATCTGAATTGTAGAGACCAAAAACTGGAAATAATATATATTGCTCCCACTACTTTCTACCCCTCACTTTGTTACTGGTATTTTCCATTTCTTTTAAGTTTAATCTACCTACATTTTTTAGACTATAATTTTCACTTAAATATTATTTTTCTTTTTAATTATTTAATGTTAGTAATTTCTCATACCTATTGTTATCTATTTTTTTTCTGAGCTCTGATGATGGCCTGAATTTTGGACCGAAATGTCGGCAAAAATAAAAATAAGTACATTTCTTTATTTTTATAATTAGTTTTTTTGATTGATCACCCCAACCATTCTTTTCTTCAATTATTCTCTACGGTCAACCATAAATCCACAATTATGAAAATAATATATGTTGCTGATGATAGGAACAATATTTCCCTTAACTTTAACCAGTATATAACAAAAAAACAAAGTATAACCAAAGAAAGTTACTATTTGTCAATTACTCTAATTGACAACTACAAAAGATTATCTTTTCTGTTCTTGATTAATATTTATTACATGTTGTCACAATTAAGGACAGTAGTGATGGTAACATAAAAGTAAATTTATTGAAAATACATAAAATAGAGTATACATGAAAATAGAGTATATTTACTGAAAATAAAACAACAGATAAATAAATAAATATAAATATAAAACGAAATTTGAAGTTCCATAAAGTAAACATCTTACACAGGAATATTTAAAAATAGAACTGCGAGTCCAATCTGTCGAGGAGAAAGCAAGATTCCAGAAAAAAAAATGAGATTCTCATCACAACTAAAAACTAAAAAGCCAGTGGAGGCAGATCAAGTGCGACCTAGCCACAGGCATACATAGCTTGAGTGGAGTATCTGATAGCGTTTAGAAAAGGTATCGAAGCCACTACCGTCTTAGAGGGCAGGCTCATATTTAATAAAATATGATTAGTAATAGTAGGTATCCCACTTCTTATAATCTTTGAAAAAAAAGTAATGGAAGGTAATTTCTTTTTTAATTCCTTCTGCAAATATTTTTCTAAATTACATGTTCACTTTGTTAAGGCTGATCTTTTGGATGTTCTTCCCAAGATTTATCTCTCAGAAGGTTTTGTAGTGCTGGTTAGCAAGAAATGATATTGGATACCTTGAATCTTCACAATAGAACTGTCATTACAATAGTTGATACTTGGGATTAAAACGATTTTATACAAACGATCCTGCACCTAAATAGAAATAGAAAAACTGAAACGAGCTTTTTCTTAGAAGGTTTATCAACAACTCAGTGCATCCCAGTTTAGATTCTACTTCATCCATCCGGTGAAATACTTAACAACCTTTCATCGAACTAAAGCTCTCGCAAAGTAAAGACGTAACTTAGAAAAATATGTGCATGAGGAATTAAAAAAGAAATCACCGTCCATTACCTTTTTTTCTTCAAAGATTATAAGAAGTGATACACAGTATTACTAATCATATTTTATTAAGCTATCACAATCAACAAAAATTTTTGTTTTTCTTCTTGGCTTTACAGACCATCTTGGGATATTACTTTTCAGTTTTGCTACATCAACTCTACAGCAACTTTGTTGGCTCGTTGCATCTATTTCGTCTACTATTGAGGCATTCATTTTTGTAAAGAGGATTTCTAATAGATTGCTTCGAGCTACGCTCCCACCCATCTTAACCTCCTTGCCTTCATACAGTGAGAAATTAATTGACCGATTTCTGTAACCAGTTCCTTATTGGCCCTTCTCCCCCATACGTAAGTACTCTGATCCCTGATCGCTCCCGTTATCGTAATTTATGAAGATTTTTTTTTTTTTTTATCAAATCTTTCAATACTTCTTTTTAATATGCTAATTAAAGTCCAAGCCCTCCAGCCTTAAATCAACTCAGGCTATTATATACTAGTAGTCTGTGGGCCAGACCCCCTTACCGTGCACCCCCCCCACATCCCTATAAATTGCATATCGTTGTGTTCCTTGTAACTATTTATTAACTAAAAGCCAATGTTCCCACAAAAAAACGTGCACGCACTGCCCCAAAATGGCGTCCAAAGATGGCGGATTGACGACTTTGACTTTAGTTAGTTTTTTGGTCACTGAGAATCAGCATTTGGCTTAATTTCCTCATAGTTGGTCTTTTATTAAAGCTGAATAGTCATAGAATAATAAACCATGAAGAAATATTAAAAAATAATGGGCTTAGGCTATGAAAAATACTACTAAAGTCAATTTTTTTAACAAAAAAATTTTCAAGTTAAAAATCAAGCGTCATTTGTAATTAAACGGCCTACAATAACGCAAAACGTGCTGAAATAAACCATCTGGAGAATATATTTTTCTTTCCAAAACGCTGATTATTTTTTAAAAACTTGTAAACAGTTCCGTAGAAAATGCACTTATGTGGCAGAAAAGCGGTATTGGCGTGGGTGCCTACAGGCCTCTATCACACCATTCAGTACACATAAATGGCTTAGTTAAAGTGATATAATAACATTTTTGGTACATTATATTGGTTTTATTAACGAACAAATATTAATGCAATAATTTAATTGTAAAAAAAAAAATTAAATTTTTTTAAAAAATTATTATTTTTTTTTTATTTATCCTTCTTTATTCTACACGTAGGTCGTTTAAGAAGAACTTGATTGTAAAAATGATATAATTATAATAATAAAACTTAATTTAAAAACTTTGCTAAATATCTTGATTTTTGTTTTATTTAACGTTTGCAAATTAACATTGTGTTTTGTATATTTACTGATTCTTAAAGGTAATTAAAATTTATATATACTTCCCAGGAAATGAGTCGTATTAATACCTGTTTTATAAACTTAAATAATATATACCTAATCTGAACTATATATAATGAATAGCTGCTGGGTTGTATAGTAAAACTCATATATCACTAATTAAAAAATTAATTTTTATTTTCTTTATTTTGTGCGGAAGTTGGACTATATCATAAATAAATAGGAAATTTTATTATTGAATGAATTATTCTCTCTGCACAAAGAAAGATAGAAACGGTGACGCTATAAGTTCTTCTATAAGCCAGAACTGATTGTTTGGATTTGGTCTTGAAATGAGGAAAAAGGCGAAATTGAACCCGAAAACTGGAAAAATACATTAAGCGAACGAGAAAGGAAGTGCCAAAACCTCGGAAAAGAAAAAAAGTACCAGTATCCATTATATGGCTAAACGAATGTATAGTAGACAGATGAAGAGAATATTTCAAGATGCTGCTAAAAGGGGGTCAATTGCAGTTTGGATGATATTAAGTGGACGATGTAGGTTTATTATGGTAAAAACCACTTTATTTTCGATTGCTGAAGGTGCACAACGGGACTATCTTCACTTTGAAGCAGGATATAGAGAGTTATATCGAGAAAGTTATAGCTCATAAATCTCCTTCTGCTTAGTGCATTTGCAAACGTTTTTTTAAGGAATCTAAAAGGAAAACCTGCTTTTCTGAAAGACAATTAGATATTATCATAATCCAAAGTGTGAGGCACTAAGGAGATAGAGAGGCACTAAGATTCTTTAGTATAATTTCTTTGGTACACTAAACAGGAATGAATCTTGACGGGTATTACATTAAGAATCGTTGAAGCTGGAATAAGAAATATTGTCGATTGCCAGAGCGATATGGATTGACTCAAGTTGCACATTTTAAGAGAAGTTGAAAATTGAGACTGGCTTCACTTTAAGGCAGGTTATAGAGAAGTCTATATACAACGAAGAATATCTCTCTATCTCCTTAGTGCCTCACACTTTGGATTATGATAATATCTAATTGTCTTTCAGAAAAGCAGGTTTTCCTTTTAGATTCCTTAAAAAAACGTTTGCAAATGCACTAAGCAGAAGGAGATCTATGAGCTATAACTTTCTCGATATAACTCTCTATATCCTGCTTCAAAGTGAAGATAGTCCCGATGTGCACCTTCAGCAATCGAAAATAAAGTGGTTTTTACCATAATAAACCTACATCGTCCACTTAATATCATCCAAACTGCAATTGACCCCCTTTTAGCAGCATCTTGAAATATTCTCTTCATCTGTCTACTATACATTCGT